TTTCAGTAGAGACCGGGTTTCGCCATGTTGGCCAGGCTGATCTTCAACTCCTGACCTCACGTGATCTGCCACTTTGGTCTCCCAAAGTGCTGAGATTACAGGCGTGAGCCACACGGCACAGCCTGCAGCCACTCCGTTTAAGCTTACCAGCATGTCCTTCAAGGTCCTGATGACTGCTGTTGTTCCCATTGTATAGAGGAAGCCACTGAGGGCCAGGCATGGTGGTTCATGCCTGTAGTCCCAGCACTTTGGGAGACCAAAGTGGGTGGATCATGTGAGGTCAGGAGTTAGAGACCAGCCTGGCCAACATGGTGAAACCCTGGCTCTACTAAAAATACAAAAATTAGATGGGCGTTGTGGCGGGCACCTATAATCCCAGCTACTCAGGAGGCTGAGGCAGAGAATTGCTTGAACCCGGGAGGCAGAGGTTGCAGTGAGCTGAGATCACGCCACTGCACTCCAGCCTGGGCGACAGAGCGGGACTCCGTCTCAAAAAAGAAAAAAAATTTTGATGAACGTTAGTCCCTGCTGTGAGATATACGAGTGCCCACCCTGTGTTGTAGCAGGGAGGACACAGTCGTGGGAGTGGCTTGGAGCTTTTGCCAAGAGGTGGGGTGAAATTAATCAGAGCAAAGAAATGCACAGGTGCCTGAGTTAGCAGGGCCTGCCCCACCCCAATGGACACCTCTAGTGCTCTCTCTGTCCTCTTTCTCTTGCCTGTGCCCCAAGGGAGTTACCCCCCAACCTCCATCCTAGCCATGCCAACCTCTGCTACCCTCTTCCCAGCTCATCCTGTTTGGGCTCAGTAATCAGCTGGCTGTGACATTCCGGGAAGAGAACACCATCGCCTTCCGACACCTCTTCCTGCTGGGCTACTCAGACGGGGCAGATGACACCTTCGCAGCCTACACGCGGGAGCAGCTGTACCAGGCCATCTTCCATGCAGTGGACCAGGTGCTGGTGGGTGGGCAGGTGCAGGTGGGTGGGCCGCAGAGATGGGGCTGGGCTCACAGGCCCTCCCGTTCTCTGTCCACAGTACCTGGCGTTGCCAGACGTGTCACTGGGCCGGTACGCGTATGTCCATGGCAGGGGTGACCCTTGGGCCAATGGCTCAGGGCTTGCTCTCTGCCAGCGGTACTACCACCGAGGCCATGTGGACCCAGCCAATGACACATTTGACATTGATCCGATGGTGGTCACTGGTGAGTGGGCACAGCGGGGCTTTGCTGTTTGGAGTCCGAGCTTCGGGATTAAAATCAATAGCTGTGGCTGGGCGACGTGGCTCATGCCTGTAATACCAGCACTTTGGGAGGCTAAGGAGGGAGGATTGCTTGAGGCCAGGAGTTTGAGACCAGCCTGGGCAATGTAGGAAGACCTTGTCTCTATACACAAAAAAATTAGCTGGATGTGGTGGCGTGCCCCTGTGGTCCCAGCTACTCAGGAGGCTGAGACAGGAGGATCACTTGCGTCTGGAAGGTTGAGGCCGCAGTAAGCTATGATCACACCACTGCAGTTCAGCCTGGATGACACAGTGAGACCCTA